TACCATGTGGAGGGGTCCAGTCCCCAGGGATATGACCCTCCTTTATGCAGCTCTGCCCTCTTTATCTGTCTTCTTTATCGAGGGTCCTGTCCCCTCATCCCAGATGGCCCTCCCTTCCCTCTGTCCAGCCCCTGGTGGGAGTCTGAGGTCACCCCTGGCACAACCCATGTGGCTCACCTGGACCATCTCCTGTCTTTAGATTCTCCCTGGAGAACCCAGCGTGGGACTGGGTGTGTTGGAAACGGACAGGGGCACTGACTGGGAGGGTCAGGCCATCTGGAAAGGGGCACCTTAGCCTCAGTCCAGGCCTCCTTGAGGGCACTCCCATGCCACCCATCTCGTCACAGGTGTTTCTGGTCCCTGACAGCCTGGCCCAGGGTCTCAGTGCCGGAGCTTGACTCAGCTTCGCCCTCCTGGCCCTCCCAGGCTCCTCCTGCACTGTGGCCTGCTGCAGGGAGCTCAGCAGGAGACCCTCTTCCTGGGCAGGGGCTGCGTGGCCCAAGGCAGGACCTTGGAATTTCACAGCTGCTTTTTTCTCCACCTTGGAGCACCAGGAAGCTGAAACTCAGAGGCTCCAGAGCCAAGAACCCTCCTCCCCTAGGAGCTGGTTAGTAAAATTTCTCCCTGTCAGGTCCTTCCTCCCCCGACCCAGGGGAAAGCCTCTGCCCTCACTGCACTGGGGCAGGTGAAGCTGGGGTGCTGGGTAGGGGCGGGGTGAAGGGGCAAGGACGGGGCATGTGTGAATGTGGGAGTGAGTACCGCTGACGCCAGGGGCTCCAGATGCCAGTGGGACCCACTGCCCATAGTTCTGAGGCCCCAAGAAGCGCCACGAGCCCCCCACCCTACCGCCCAGGCACCCAGAGAGGGGTCTTCTGCTCATGCTGGTGGTGGACTGGAACCCACCCTGCCAGCCTCTGGCCCCGACCTGTGTCCTCCAGCCCAGCCCTGTCTGGCCACTGAGAGCTTTCACCGCTCTGATTCCCTGGACCCTCGCTGCTGCCACCTCACCACTGTCCCATAGAAGCTCGAAGGTGTCCTTTGTTAGTATTCAGAAAACAATACCCCAAAAAGAAGGCCTCAGAAGCCAAGGTTTGTCTCTGAACTTCTCCTGCCCTCCTATCTCTCAGTCCCACTCTCTCTGGAGGCTGCCATGGAAACTAGAAACTCTCTTCCCCAAGGGAACCCCTTTTCCCCAAAGACAGCCATAAAACCTAAAAATGTTACTGACTCTCCCTCCACCCTATTTGTGTAAAAACTGACCATAAAGGAAATCATCTGATCTACCTTGTTTGGATGGTAGGTCATGAGACCCACATTCTAGAGAGGGTCCTGCCCCACTCCCAGGAGGAAGGATGTTGTTCCAAGAGACCAAGAATCTAGACAGGCCCTGCTGGGTTCCCCACTCAGTATGCTAGTGTTAGGTCATACTGGCTTGTGCAAGGTTTCTGCACGGCTGTCCATGCTTCGTGGAACCTAAGCATAAAACGGACAGTTTCCTGTCTTTCCGTCTTCATTCTGAAGGTTTCTGTGCACATTGTAAATGAATGTGCATGTCTTTCCTCCAATTAATCTGCCTTTTGTGAGTTGATTGATTTTTTTCAGAACCTTTACAGGGTAGAGGAAGTTTGCTGTCAGCCCTGTACCTTCTGTGGTCACTGGCACTGCAGCTGGAGAGCTACAGGTGGGGGGAGTCTACAGGTTGTGAGGGCCCGGCCAGAGGAAGCTCAGGGCTGGGGCAGGGCTCAGGGACCTTGATCCCACTGGTCCCAGGCTCTGCACGGCCTCGGGGCCTCCAGTGCTGCCTCCTCCTCTCTTGCCTGCAGGGCGGAAAGTCAACTATATTAGCAAGGGTTGTGGTCCTTGGTGTGTGCAGACTATGACAGCATCTCTCCACATGTCCCTGGGGTCTTTCCCCATAGAAAGGGAAGATGGACAGATTGACCGGAAGTTTGAAAGGCTGTGTGTGAGCTGCTGTGAAAAGAATCTCTGCCAGGGAGTGGGGCTCCGCCTCTGGGGCCTGGCTGGAGGGGGGCGGTGTCCCTGCTCATCTTGGGCCCTGCCAGTTCAGCCCTCAGCTTCTCATCAGCCTGAGGCCACACAAGGAGGGCCCTGAGACAGGATGCAATTCATGGCCCTCAACGCCTCCCCCATGCAGCCTTGTCACCTGCTGGCCCAGATAGCAAACACCTTCTAAAGCCCAAGGACTTTGTCCTGCTCCCTTCAAATTTCTCCAGCAGGACCCCCAGGTGCATAATCACAGATATAACAAGTGGCAGCAGTGGAGTCTGGCCTGAGGCCTTGGAGGGGCCCTGGCAAAGTCCCTAGGGTGAGGCTCAGAGAGGGGAGCCTTCCCCGGGCAGCCCCCAGCCCGTGAACTTTTTCTAGCCAGGATTGTACAACTACCAGCCCCTGAGGTCCGGGAGCAGCCTGGATGGTCTTGGCACTCTGTCCCCCAAGACTTGGGGCTTGGCAGGTGGGAGAAGAGGGATGTGGGCTCCTCAGCCGTGTGTGAACTCAGGAGGGGACAGAGAAGACCAGGAGGCTGGGACACCACAGGCCCAGGCCGGGCAGTGGCCACCAGGTTTCCAGGGGACCTGAGGTGGGGTGCCAGGCCAGCAAGCGGGGGACCCCTGAAAGTCCTAGCAGGGGCAGGGACAGAGCTGTAGAGGGCCAGATCCTGTGGATCTGGGGAGGGTGGACAAGGCCCTCCTTGGGCCTGACCCCCAGCAGCTTCCTCAAGAGCAGAGAGCAGCTGGGAAGCCGGCAGGGTCCAGCACCAGGACTGCCACCCACCCTCCAGCAATCTGCGGGCAGATGCTGGGAAGCAGGGAGCCCAGTCTGGCAGCAGAGAAGTGGAGAGTGCCCCCCCCCCCCCATGTTGTGCAGGCAGGTACCAGCAGCTAAGCAGAGTGTAGGCAGGGCCTGGGCGGGACCCAGGGCTGGAAAAGGGCGGCCTTACTTTCCCTTCCCACTCCTTGTCCCTCAGCCTCAGGAAACAGAAACTTAGCGCCCTGGGCTCCTCCCCTTCTTGCCTCCGCCCCAAGCCCCACCTTAGCACCCCTCCACATCCAGCCTCTGCACCTCCCCCACCCCCCACCGGCTCCAGGAAATGGAAACTCAACGTCCTGCACTCCTCCCCCTCCCCCCAGGCTCTCTCTGCTGCTGGCACCACTGCCCTCTCTCGGCCTCCCACCTTCCCAGGGAGGGGCAGCGGGGACCAGGCAGGACCACCATCGGCCCCAGGAGGTCAGGACTGCCTCTGGCTCAGCTCAGACCCGAAAAGACTTTGCCCTCCAACAGAGCAGAGGGAATGCAGCCCAGAGGGTCATAGACCCCAGTAGGGCAAGTGGCTTCAACTCGACCCTCAGCTTTCCCTTCCATAAAATGGGATAACCATACTCACCTCTCAGTGTGGTGAGAAGAGAAACAAGAAATAATATCACCTGGAAAGTAGCAGGAAATGCCCACAGATGGAAGTGTAAACTACCATTACCAGGAAGGGAGCATTTGTTATAGAAATTCCTGTCACTGCTTGTGCCCCCTGTGGCTCCAGTGTCCTTGGAATCAAATCCAAATTCCTGGCGACAGCTTTTGGGTACAGCTTCTTCTCACCACCCCAACCAGGGTTCCCTGGTCCCTGTCCCTCCAGTAAAGATGTTTGCAATTTATGTTGAGTGAGCGATGCTGCGAGAGCCTTCCACCGCCACAGCGTTGGCAGCTCCTTCAAGGGTGGTCTGATTTCTACCCTCTCTGTTCTTTCTCTTTTCCTTACTTCCTAATGCTGGATAGATGCACTCACACAAACCAAGTGTTTTCACTACCTGTGGAGGGTCACACAGTGCTGTGTGCTTCCGGATCCTCCATTCGGGTCTGCTGGCCTCCTGTGGCTGGCCCGTCCCCCTGCCACTGTGCTGGGGGGCTGTGGCTCCCTCTGACTCATCCAGGGCACTAGCACTTGATCACAATGTGTTAGTTGGCCAAGTACCAGTCATGTCCCCCTGGGATAGCAATAGTGACACTGCATTCACCTGTTTCAGAGGGACCCCAGGAGACAGATGTGACAATCTGGTGGGGGATAGAATCTCCAATCTCCATGGTGCTAGACAATGTCCCTCAGACCCTGACACACACAGCACAGCCCCCGGCCAGCCTGGGACAACTGGGCTGTGAGCCTCCGGATCAGACCCTGCCAGGTTCCTTTCCACCATCCTGGACACTTGAGAATGTCCAGAGAAATAAATGCTCAACTTCCAAAGAGCAGCAGACCAAGGAGACCCTGTTTCACACATTCCTTGTTCTTGTTTTCTCACCAGCCCAAAGCAAAGAGTGCTCTGGGCTGAGCACAATACCCCAAATACCTCGACTTCAGACGCTGTCCCAGATCCCCTTCTTGTTAGTTCAAACCACAAGGTGGCCTGCAAAGGGGATGTGAGCAGTGACAGGCCTGCCAGCCCTGGGAATGGACAGGCTAGGGAGGGCTGCCAGGCCTGGCCAGTGTCCACCTGTCTATGCAGGAGCCCCCTGCTCCTACTACAGGCCCTGGGACAGGTGCCACTCACCCACCCACTGAACTCCAGAGGTCTGATCCTGCCCCCTCCACCCCAGCTGGCCCAGGCTCCCTCTGTTCCCAAGTCCTAGCACCCTGGTTGCTGCCCCGCCCCATGTGCACGCTCCTTCCTGCTAGAGGACTGGTTCTGGGCTGGAGGACTCCTCCTTTCTCTCCCCCAGGCCCCCTGGCCTTCCCTTCTGTGTGGGAGGCCAAATTCCCAGCCTGGGGAGGAGAAAGTGCAAAACATGGCAGTGGGGTGCCTTTCTATGCCTGGTGAGCAGCTGGCTGTGAGCTGGGGGGCCTCTCCTCCTCCCCCAGCGCCCCAAGTGGGCCTCAGTTTGGGACTGTGCCATAGAGGACCAACAGGCCTCTTGAACCTGGGCTTGCCTCCCCCATCAGGACCTTGCTAAGAGGGGGCTCCCAGGCAGGGGGGCAGCCACACCCAGAGCAAGAAGGGGTGGGGACATGTGTTTATTTGAGGCACCAAAGCAGCAGGAGGGCTCCAGTGGGAGTGGGAGGGGGCAGGCAGGGCTAGTTCAATTTAGGGGTGGGAGCCTAGACTGGGAAGCAAGGGGCTGCCCTCAAAGGAGTGCAGTATGGCCAGGGAAGGGGCTCTGTGGGCTTGAGGCTCTGCAGGCTGCTCCCTCCCTCCCTCCCCCAAACACAGCCTCACTCACACCTGCAGAGCCCAGGACCCGCCCATGACCACAGGCCCCCACACTCACAGGCACCCCATCTGGTGCCCTAGGGCTTAGGAAGGGTCCTGTATGTCCACAGGACTCAGTCCTGACCCCAGCACCCTAAGACTCCAGGGACATCCTCGTCCCTTCCCCAGTCCCCTGAGGAAGGTCACATCACTGACCCTGAAAGTGAGGGTAGCTGACCTTACCTGGGCAGGGGCTGTGGCAAGTGTAGGGGGTGGGCCTGACCCTGGGGCCAAGCAGGGTTGTCAGGCACGGTGAGGAGTCTGGGAGGGGCTGGGCTTTCCTTCCTGAGCTAGGGGTGGGGGCACAGGTCCGAGTGGTCAGGGGCCAGGCCTCAGCAGGGCTGGCAGCAGGCTGAGCAGCAACCCCAGAGCCAGCAGGGCGGTGCTGGCCCGCAGCCCACCGTCAGCTGCGCTGAAATTGCACAGGAAGCTCTGGCAGCAATGGGTGCCCACGGACGCCACACCAATATCGACACTTGGGCCAGGACAGATCGGGGAGCAGCCCTTGTTCAGGCTATAGCCAAAGTTCACGGCATTCCCTGTGGGGAAAAACAAGGTTGTGAGGGAAGACAGCCTGACCATGGTTGGGGAGGTGACCAGGCAGGGACAGAGTCTCTGGGCCCCCCTTCAGCACTCACCAATGCCAGCAGCGGCAGACACGGTCACACAGTAGTTGTCCGAGTCAGAGCAGATGGTCGGCTTCAGGCAGTACCAGTTGCTTTTCTGATTCGTGCAGGAGAAGCACATCAGCGAGTGGGCTGCCGAAGGAGGTGACATCTGTGTCATGCCTGGACAAGCTTCCAGCGTCCACTCCCAGGCCTGCCCCTGGCACTCAAACTCAATTATTTGCAGACATTGAGAAACTATTGTAAGCTAGGCCCTGTGCTGGGGACCAAGGAAACACAATGACATCAGACCCTGGCCATCGAGCAGCTCAACTGACACCCAAACACATGGTGACCAGAGTGTGGCCAAGCCAAGACTGAGACCTCCAGTGGGAACAGCCAAGTGACTCACTTCACGGGGGAGAGACAGGAGGTCACATAGGAGCTGTTCCAGAAGGACCCCAGGGCATCTGTTCCGGGGAGAAGGGAGAGAGGGAGTCTAGGAGGGTGCAGCCTTGCAAAGGTCTGGTGGCCCCAAGGGATCTCACCTCGCTCCACATACAGAAGGGCAGCCAGCAGCACCGCCAAGAAGACCTTCATTCTGGAGGGAACAGATGTCCTGTCTAGGAGCTCCAAAGTCAAAGAAGCCTGTCCTGCTCTGGAGAGACACGGCGTGTCAGAGGACCAGGCAACCCCATGCCCAGGACTCTGGCTCACACCAGCACCAGGCTCCAGGGCTGGACAAGGCCTCACTATTCCCAAGGGGCATGTGTCTCATGTTGTAAATGGGGATACAGGGGACAAAGAGGGGCATGGACTTGCCACGCCTACCACAAAGCACAGCACACAGAGGGTTTTCCCACTTCACTCCTAAACTGCCCCTCACTCAGTGCAGGCACCTTCTAGTTGGAGCCTCCTAAACCCGGGGGCCACTAGAGGCCAGGCAAGGAACTGGCCAACATTCTCAGAATCGCACAGAAAAGGTGGCAGAAAGAGTGGACCTGCCCATGTTCCTGGAGGTGAGGAATAGAGGTCAGAAACAATATTAGCCATCTGTACCCAGAACTTTCCTTGAGCCAGCTCCATGCCTTGATTCCAGGCAACTCCCCTAGTGTACAGAGCAGGGGGCTGTACCGGGAGTATGACTCAGGAGGGAGCCTTCCCATTCTTCATGTCATTCAGTTATGAAGACAAGAGCCCCTAAGCATCCGATGCCCCCCACTCTGTGGCTGAGAAACAGGCTCAGAGAGACAAAGCGGTGTGTTTCCAGCCAAGCCAGCAGGAAGGGGCACAGATGAGCCTCAGCCAGGGCATCGTGGGGCCTGCTCCTTGCTGAGCTGCATCAGGACCCCTCCTCGGGCAGAAGCCCAGGCACTGGGTGGAGAAAGAGCCTGGAACACCACCAGCCAGTGTTCTGGTTCTCTATTTCGTATGTGGCGGAGTGCTTAAGGGGGGCCTGCTCTTTCTGCCAGGGACAACCAGTATGGCAGGGGTGGTCTGGGCTTGGGGAGCAGGAGGGCCACTGGAGGGGAAGGAGAATGCCAGGGAAAGATACACTTGGGAAAGGGTTGGCAGAGGCCTCAAAGGGGAAAGCAGCAGGCTAGGCCCAAGACCTGGGCTGACAACATGGAGTTGGGAGAAGGGGCCCCAGATGGCCAAGAACAGTGCCAGGGCCAGCTAGGGCCTCTCCCCGCCTCCAGGCAGCACAAGGAGGAAGGAGTCTCCAACTCCTCCCCCACAAAAGTGAGGTTTTGGTGTGGAGGAGCACTGAGCTGTCTCCAAGGAAGCCCTGGCATGCAGGGCCACAAACAGGTCCAGCTGGCGCTGCCACCTGTCCACCGCAAGGCACCTAACCAAGTGGGCTGCCAGGCGGAGTTAAGGCACTGGCAGAGTGGAAGGCCAGTTAGTAGGGTCAGGCAGGACTGTTTGATGCTTTCAGCTGGGCAGAGGGAGCCAGCAAGCGGTGGGGGCAGTGCCACTTGGGACGCAGGCTCACAAGAGCTGACTCCTGGGAAAGCCAGGCATCTAGTAGGTCCCCAGCCGGCAGGAGAGGAAGGAGCCTCTCCTGGTCTCCTGGGATGGGAAGGGTAAGGCAGTCTACCTCAGGAGGCCTGGGCTCCCAGGCACCTCACTTGCCAGCACCGACGCTGGAACAAAGAGCTTCCGCCCTCTTCCTCCAGGCAGGTTCCAGCCCCCCAGGGTAACCCACCAGGGCAGGTAATTCTCCCCTTCCTGCCAGGAACTTCCTCAAGAACCCGCGCCTCTTCCTCCAGTCAAGAAGGCTGTCCTTCCCTAGTCCCACGTTGGGGAGTCAGGAGTGTCTAGAGTCGGGCGATGGGACCCCGGGAGGTGCGCAGCCCTGGGGAACCCAGCCGGGAGGGCGCTTGGCAGCAGTCGCCGCCCGCTCCCGCCCGAGATCCCTGCGGGGATGGGAACAGAGACTCAGCTCCCAGGGGACGGGCCCGCCAGCAGCCCCCGACCCCAATCTCCCACAGCCCCTCTCCTGCATCTCCGCCTTGCGCCCCTCTCCGGGTCCCCGGCCCCAGTAGGGCGCCTTCTGCCCCACGGTCTGGGCCCGGGAACGCGCGCACCGCGGGGCAAGCCGCCCTGTCCCAGCGCGTCCCCGCAGGCTGCCAGGGCACCCCGGCCTCGGCCCCGCGGACTCACCGCCCGGCGGACGCAGATGCCAGCGGCCTCGAGCGTTTGGGACAGCGGCGGCAGCAGCAGGAGAAGCAGCGACTCCCAGGCAGGCCGCGCGCTGGGCCGATGCAGGGGCGGGCGCCGGGCGGGGCCTGGGGGCGGAGTCAGGGGCCTTCAGGCCGGCTGGGCCCGGGTCCCGGAGGCGCCCATTCCAGGGGACCCGGGACTGCGTCCCTGTTGCGCCAGCGTCCGCCCCTCTGCCCCGGACTCTGACCGGCGCCTGGCGTCCACCACCGCGCGCTGGGCTTCCCAGTTGCCACCTGGACCCCCTCCAGCTTCCTGTGACAGAGGGAGTGGCTGAAGCCGGGAGAGGAGCTGAAAGCCCTCTGAACGTCCCAGCGAGGTGGGGTCTGAGGCATGGCGGGTCCTCCCACCCGCCCTGCTGTGGGAGAAGGACCGGCCGGTCCTTCTCGTTTTCTTGAGGGTGGTGACATCGCGGGACAGACCTGGCGAGGTTGGACAGGTGACCAGGTCAGTGTGACAGTCACTGACATCTCGTTCTGGCCAGGGGGCGGAGGGCGATTGGTGCTGCCACGCAGCCGGGAGGCCCATAGGTAACCAGACGCATTTGGGGGCTGAGCACAGAAGGGACGACGGAGCAGAGCTGGGAATCCCTTCTGCAGAGTGGGGTGCGGGGGTGAGGACGCAGGGCTGATGTATTCAGCACCGCGCCCCCTCACCCTGGGACTTCCTGAGGTCTTCCAGTCCCGTGCCCGCTCCAGGAGGAGCTGTTTCTTGGCCATCGCACAGGTGGCTGTGGGGAGATGGAGCAAGGATCGGGAGGTTGCAGGCGTGGGTTCTGGTTTCTGTGGCTTCTGTGGCACAGGTCTGGCCAGGAGAGCTGGGCCAGGCTGGAGCACCACCTCCCGCCCCCTTAACCTGGGCCGGACCCAACAGCCGGTCAGCAGTCACAGAGGTCCTTCTCCAAAGTCAGCCCGATCTGGCCCCCTAGTGTAGATCCGAGAAGCCCCTGTTAGAACGAAGTCCCGAATTCTTAGCCTGACCTTTCACGGATACCTTTCAGGCCTTCTGCCCAGTGCACACTAGTGCCTTTCCATGCGCCGGTATTTGCGGAGCTCCTGCTGTGGGGTCCTGCGCTGCATCTCAGGACAGGGCAGGGGGAGCCCGCGGCAGCCTGGAGGGGCCGGAGGTCCCCCTTCTGCCAGCCCTGCAGAGCTCCTCCCACAGGGTTGTGGGCTGCTGGGTCTCTGCCACCTGCCTGTTGTCCAGAGTTGTAACAGAGGGAATGGGCTGAGTTAGAAAGATAGCAACGATATTTTCTGTCTTTTTAAAACTTCCGTCACTCTTTTTGAGAACTGCATTCTGGCCTGCATCCCTGAGGCCGGTTAAGTCTTTTGTTAAAACTCCCAGGTTGCGCAAGCCCTGCAGGTGGGCAGCTGGCAGAGTTCACAGTTAACCACAGTAATTTCCTGAAGCTGGGAAACCTCCCTTTAAAAGCTCTGTGTTTCTGCCTATGTTTAGGAAATCTGAGATTTTCAGACGATAAAGTCTACCGTATTTCTCCTTTGTAGGCAAAGTAAATGTCTCTTTCCTCCCTCAAACTGCTTGTCCTCCTTCTGATTCGGCCTCATGAACACGTGTGAACTTTCATAAGACACACTGCACCTTTCACAGTGCACTTCCTGTCAGGAGCTGTTGCACCTGGCACTTCTCAGTGTTCTGGGTGGCAGCTGGTGTTCAGTGGTGACAGCAAGGGCCCCAGGGAAGGGACTTCTTAACTATCCACAGGGGAGGGGAGGAAGAGGCAGGGGGAGGTTCCAGGAGGCATGAGGCAGGATGACAGGGTGGCCAGGATGGAGCTGGGGCAGAAAGACATGCTGTAACAGAGGACCAGTCACAGTGTTGGGGCCTAGGGACCATAGGCAGCAATAACCAGCCATCAGCTTCTGTACTATGCTTGCTTGCTCAGGAGAGTGGGAAATTTTCAGCTGACCCTTATCTGACTCCAGACCTGCCATCTCGCCCCTGCTAGCATGATTAAGTTTAGAAAATAAGGAGAAGGGTGGTGGTGTATGGCACACAACTGCCCACAAGATATAGCTGCTAGTCCAGGGTCTAAACGCCCTGGGCCCCTGAGGCACCTGACATGCTTCTTGGTGTACCCAGTGGAATGCACTCTGGCTTAGATCACAAAATGCTGAAGGTATTTTAACTAAGACTAATGTTGTCCGTAGTCATACTGTTTCAGAGTTAAATCTTAACTATAGCCAGTGACTCCTACAAAACCCACCTCAAGGCTCCAACCCCCCCCCCACCATTGTGCTGAAACAAGATAAGAATATAAGAATAATGCTTTCTTTTGCTTTTGTAACTGGGCTTGCTAATTAGATTTTTAGAATGTGGTTTTTGCCTTTAAAAAGGGCTGGCTTTTCTTGGCTTATCACTGCTCTCTGTGCCTGCTTCTTTGCAGGGCAGGAGTAGTCACTGGTCAGCTAATAAAGACTCACAATTCGACTAGATTCGGACTTAAGTGGTCTTTTCTCACACTCTGTACCATAACAACAGGGGCAGGTCTGGGGGTGCACTCAGTATGGTGTGACTGTGAGTGAGGGGGCATGTGGTGTGGGTGTGTGTGTGAGTGTGTGGGGGCATGTGGTGTGAGTGTGTGGGGCATGTGTGAGTGTGTGTGAGTTTGTGGGGGCATGTGTGAGAATGTGTGCGTGTGTGGGGGCATGTGCGAGTGTGTGTGTG